GAAAATATCTATTTTCATGATGGGGTATTTGAAGGTTGAGTCCTAGCATTCTGTTTTGTACCTCCAATGAAGAAGAGCCCTAATTTGTTTAGCATTTTTCTCTATTTCAAGTTGCTAGCCTTTTACTTAAAGAGTTATTCGAAGAAAGGAATATATATAGCAATTTAGCTTTTAACAAAAATTGTGTCTGCCACAGGTACTTGAACTTTGACCTCCTGATTAAATTGAATCCTAGACCTCTTGATCCTAAAGCAAAGTGTTTATTCACTGTAGCACTTATGAACCATTAATATTCTTTTGCAATATAGCAGGGGGTTTATCAGGGGGGGTTAAATACTGCATACATGAAAGTAGACTTTAACCACTTTTATTTAATCCTTTCTTTATGACAACAAAATAATTTTGTCTTTCCTACTTGTGCTGTATTCTGAGAACTCGGTCAACTGGGTTGGATTTATATGCAGTTATTGGTTTAGTTTCCCAATCGGGAATTTTAAAGGGACAAATTGGGAAGAATCGCACACTTTCTCAGTTGGGAATGGGGTCCTTGAAACGGACCCAAAAAGTACCCTGATAGACCCCTGTAGTGTCAGGAATGATTTCAAATATTCCTACTCCCATAAACAGTGTATGTATCGATGAAATAACATAAATCTTAACAGGAAAATAATTTGTCAAGGCCTGTGTACAGTGGAAAAGTGGTGTGGCTCTCTAGATTAAACCACGTGTGAGGATATAACCAGATATAAACTAGAATTTTGTTTTTGTTCACAAATGTCTCCCCTTATTAGCCTATAGAAAAACTTGATAAGGTATAAAAAAATATCAAAGGGCCATATCGCTTTACATAGTGGGGCACGAGACCCGAATTAAGAATTTGACATTCCTACTTCCCAAGATACATTAAAACTTTAGCAAGTTTCGTCAACGTAGGTGAAACTAGAACACTGACAGGTCAGTAAGGGCCCCGTCTTGTGGCAATATATCCCCCATACTCAACAAGATAAACTAGAACAATGACAGGTCAGTAAGGGACCCGTCTTGTGGCAATATATCCCCCATGCTCATCAAGATAAACTAGAACACTGACAGGTCAGTGAGGGCCCCGTCTTGTGGGAATATCTCCCCCATAATCATCAAGAAGCAATCTGCCCATATAGCCGAGCTTGACGTTTGACATTTGGAATTCAAAAAAAAGGAAGCAAAATATACATTTTACATGTACTATGATGCGAATCTTGTTTCCTTCCTCTTCCATAATTGCTGGACTAACAGAAATGTAAATACCGGTGCAATACTCATTTGTTAGCTTTGATTTGTTTTGTTTCACCTTAAATACCTCCCCCATCAAGAGCCAGGGTCAAAGTAAGAGATCCACTTTGTCTTTGACCTTTGGACCCAAATGACCTTGACCCTTAACTCAGTGACCCTGATCAGTCGACTCATTCTTTAATTCCGACCAACTTTGCTTCTTAATATCATAACAAAATGTTCACCAGTAAAAATATACAACCTTGAAATTGACCCAGTGACCTTGACCTTAAGTCAGTTGATTTCTTATCAAATTCCAACCAACTTTGCTTTATAATGTCATAACAAAATGTTCATCAGTGAAAAGATACAAGATTTGACCTTGACCTTTGACCAAATGACCTTGACCTTTGGTCAAATGACTCCTTCTGTAATTCCGACCAACATTCTTCAAAGTGTCATATCAAAATGTTCCCCAGTGAAAAGATCCTGAATTTGACCTTAACCTTTGACCCAGTGACCTTGACCTGAAGTCAGTTGACTCTTTGTTAAATTCCAACAAACTTTGCTTCAAAATGTCATAACAAAATGTTCATTAGGGAAAAGATGCAAAATTTTACCTTGACCTTTGACCCAGTGACCTTGACCATTGGTCAGTTGATACATTGTTTGATTGTGACGGACGGACGGATGAATTAGTTCCTTATAACATGGAAGTTATGTCGTGGACAAACTTCAGTATTAAAATTAAACAAAGGGCCATAACTCTGTATATAGTGACGCACGAGTCCTAATTCCAGTACACTACACACCTTCTGTGAGTGATGCAAGTATACTTCAAGTTTGATTAAGATATCTTTAATGGTTTAGAAGTTATGCTGTGGACAAACTTCGGTATTAAAAATAAACAAAGGGCCATAACTCTGTATATAGTGGGGCATAAAATCTGATTTTAGTGTGAGAAATTTAGCCTTCCCAAGATACATAAATATGGTAAGTATGGTCAACGCAGGTGAAATAACATAGAACTTATGCTCTGGACAAACTTCAGTATTAAAATTAAACAAAGGGCCATAACTCTGTATAAAGTGGGGCACGAGACCTAGTTCCAGTGCACTGCACACCTTCTGTGGGTGATGCAGGTATATTTCAAGTTTGATTATACGGGCCGGACAAGAATTTACTGAAAATGTGCACTTATTTGACCTTTGACCTTGGGTGAAGGTCACAGTGACCTAATTCCAGTGCACTGCACACCTATGCATACCTAAAGTTTCATCAAGATATCTTTAACGGTTTAAAAGTAATGGCCCGGACAAGTCCGATTAGAAGAACCAGAAGAAGAAGAACCAGTACTAATACAATATATCAATAACAATATACAATTACCGTAAAAACCTGTGAAATTTGCGCACCTATGTAATTTGCGCAGCTATTTTGTGAGGCTGAAAATCCCCAAAAAAGCTTCTACTCAAATATTTTGCGCACCAAACATTTTTTGAAAAAAAAAATTGATGTTCAAGTTCCGAAAATCGATCTCTGAAAATGAAAGACAAACCGCTTTGAATTCTTAGGTTTTTTGTAATTTGTTTATTATAATTGAGTTCATAAGTATTGTTTACAGGTACAATGATGTTAAAACTAGGAAGAAATTGCGTAAAATGTGTATTTTGTTGTTTGTCTCCTTTGAAATAAATATCTGATCACACACGTGTGCGCATATCAGCATACATCAATTCATTTTAGCAATATTTTACATAAAACATTTACTTGCACACAAATATATCAATTCATAAGTAATTCGATGTTTAGTAACCGCTGGTGCATATCTCCTGGTGAAAGACATAATTAGATACCTTTTATTGATCATAATTACGATCAGTCAGAAGGGCTCATCATGGTACATATTATTCAAAGTATGCAGGAACAAGTATTCTGATATATTATTGACCTTTGACTTTCCATGAGAAAAAAAACAAAAATGAATATCTCAAGATATGTTTATTCATGATCGTTCGGTTTGCTTAACAAGTCAAATTTGCTTTAAAATGATATCCAAACATTTATGGGTTTTTTTAAAATCTAAATTGTAAAACAGAAAATGAAAATTCACCTATCCACAATAATTGGTCAGACTTGATAGCAAACTTAAACAAAATAAACAACAGAGTGGAATTTGATTATCGTAATATTTTGGTGAAAAACTGCAAAACTCCATCTTCAAGAAATGGCCACATGTTTTCTTTCAATGCTCTGTATGGGAAAAGCGGAGCAGTGCAGGCCACTGATAAAAGGAAGAACAATGTTGGTGATATCTCTATCGCCTTTTCTTTCCGAGTGAGCAAATTTTATAACTAGCCACCCAGATGTAATTAAGTTTCGGTATCATCTAAATCCGGTGACAAAGTGGAATTGAAAAGCTGATATTTGAATGCTTATCAAACAGACGAAATATATAGCAACTGGATTGAAATTACAAGCCAAATTCTGAAAATTACATTAAGTCATTTCAAAGATACTAGCCTTCTTAAAGTGGATGTTGATATGGCATACTGCAGTCACGCAAAAAAAAGAATAGCATTTAGTGATAAAAGACGTAGCTATTTGAAAAAAAATCTTTCAATGGTCTATTACGAAAGTCAAACGGTATTTGTTTTAAAGAGATAACTGAATAACTAAACTTGTAAAGACATTATGGACAACAGTTAAAGAAAACATCCAGAAACTCATGATACAAAGCAATTTGTTTTTATGTTTTTGCAAAAAGATATTAGTTGATTTTGTTTTGTTTATGCACTTTGCACCGACACATCCTTGTTTGCTTGACTGCTTCAGCTTTGTATTTGTTGATTAAATAGCTCAATACATGTTGAGTAAAATACAGTTATAGAGATGTTTCCAGAATATTAGAAATCTAGTCTCCTGAAAACCAGTAACATGTAGAAATCTGATCTGGAGACACATCCCTACAGTACAACAAGACACATGCAGACACCTGTCCTCAGACAGATCAGTACAGTACAACTAGACACATACAGACACCTGTCCTCAGATAGATCTGTACAGTAAACTAGACATGTGCAGACACCTGTCCTCATTTAGATCTGTACAGTACAACTAGACACATGTAGACGCCTGTCCTCAGACAGATCTGTAAAGTACAACTAGACACATGTAGACACCTGTCCTCAGATAGATCTGTACAGTAAAACTAGACATGTGCAGACACCTGTCCTCAGATAGATCTGTACAGTACAACTAGACACATGTAGACACCTGTCCCCAGATAGATCTGTACAGTACAACTAGACATGTGTAGACACCTGTCCTCAGATAGATCTGTACAGTAAAACTAGACACATGTAGACACCTGTCCCCAGATAGATCTGTACAGTACAACTAGACACATGTAGACACCTGTCCTCAGATAGATCTGTACAGTACAACTAGACACATACAGACACCTGTCCTCAGACAGATCTGTACAGTACAACTAGACATGTATTGACACCTGTCCTCAGACAGATATGTAAAGTACAAATGGACACATGTATATGCTTGCTCTTAAAAAATATTTAAAGAGACCTGAGTAATCAGAATTATCACAAGTTGTATGCTGTTTCTTAGGGAAATAATACATTAAAATTTCACATCTGAATATCCCTCAAAGTCTGGTTACTTTCAGTAAAACAACATGTTATGAAGGTACATATTTTACCCTGTACACAAGTCATGGGTTTAAGTATTACCTCAAATTTCATCTTGGCTGTCCTCACCATCAGCAGCAAGTGGACTGGTCTGACCAACACCTGTCATGTGACTTGACTCTGTAAATTCAAATACTCCATAAATAGTCTGATACAACTTCAAGTTCTTTATTTCTGTATTAAGCAAGTGGGAACCTTTTCATCTTTTTCATCTCCATGCTTCCAATTCTGCTAAAACCAGTAAAATGAAAACTGACTTTACTAACTCCTGATTTTAAAGGACAGCTCATTTTTGACACGAACTTACTGTTCACAGATGAATGATTTCCCCTGTTTTTGACCTTTTATTTAACCAGTGAACCCTGATCATACACGGTCGTATTGGACCAAATGATTTTTAAGTAAAGACAGCTTTCAAATCCATTGTATTTCTTTTGTTACATCTTATCATAAATGGAGTAGCCAAAGTATTCAGTGAAACTTAACTTAAAGACATCACAGGATATGGTCAGGTATGACAGAAAGTTGATATACATGGGTCTACCTACATTATGGAAATGGCAGTGTGTTGTTAGACACAACTGTACCACATCAAGAGGAACCAGAACATTTTTGTCCGATATTACAACAAATTGGAACTGACTTACTATATAATTTATATACTAACAACAAAGTTCTTATTATAACTACATTTCGGTTCAATAAGCCAGTGTGTCAGTTGAGTCAGATTGATGAACATCAAGAGGGGGGCTGTGCCTGATTAACACAAGTTCTGACAATGATGACATGTCAGTCAACTTTTCATCAGAGTTAGTGGTTGTAATATAAGCGTATGATGACACAGCATGTCAGTCAACCTGACTCTGCCTAAAATAAGGGGAACTGAGATAGTTCGGTCCAACAGTATGTCAATACAAATAGGTGTAAAAAACAACGAATAGTCAGGTAAATATTATCTGGATTACAAGAGCTGAGAGTATGGAGGTTGGACTTTAATAAGCTATGTAATACATACATAATTAATTTACTGGGTTTTACTAAAAGGTTTCCAAATCAAGAAATTTTCTTAAATTTTTTAAATCAATTTAATCCATGAGAGAGCTCCCTATCTTTGATAATTTTCCCAGTTAAAAAGGAAAAGAAGAAAAATATTGGTTAAACAAATATTTCAGTTAAATAAAGGATATTAATGGTTAACTCTGATTGAAATACAGAAAACATTTCACATCTGATCAAGGTAAATTTTGAAAGTATTTCTGGTTCCTTTAACCAAGTACAGACATATCTTGATCCTGGTAAAACAAATCACTCTTTTACAGCCATGCAGTGTGAAATACACATTTAGTATGTACCTTCCATCTATACATTATCATAATCACATGGCAAATCTACTTTTATTGTAGCTAAATGAGTTTCTATGGCATTCCTTATAACCTATACCTAATTTTCCAACACTGATGATAAAGCTAAATAAGGGCATTTTCCAAAACAATGAACAAGAGTTAAACACCTCAGACTCTTCCTTGTTGCCACAGAAGTAAGTATATTTAGCATTAAGCTCCAAGAGAGACAACTCTTGGTACAGTTAGGTCTTCACTTGCGGTGTGCGTGCCATTATCTCTAAAATGTCAAGTTCATTATAGGTGATACCACAGCAACATGGCTTTGCTTGTAAAGGACTTGATAGTATTCATCACTTTATTAGACAGTTTGTTATCATGTACTAGTAGAGCAATATATTTATACAAGCTGCTATTTGAGTTCACAAAAAGAAAAGGTATTGGGTCACCTGCCCGACCAAGTGTGTTTTTCGTTTTTTCTCAGGTTCTCCGGTTTCCTCCCAAATTAAGCCCCCCCCTCCCCCCGACTGATTCATATAAGTTGTGTAAGATAAAAAAAAGTTAATGTTTTTATAGGCAATAATGATAATTAACCCTCAAGTTAGAGTCACATGCAACATATTGGGGGGTAGGGGTGGGGGTGGGGGCTGTCTATATTTCATACATTTTGTCAAGCTGTAAACGTAAGCTGAATATAATCGCCGACACTGTTGATACTGCAATACCAACCTTCACCGGTTCCAGCTGTAGGTTTACAGTTACTGAGAAGTTTGGGAAAGCAAGATTCCGTTTCAGCTGCGTAGGAACGTGTACTAGGTTGGTAGTAGCGTCGTCCAATAGCCCTCGCCCTCATGTACAGACATATAACCACGGCAACCAGCAAGATGAACACAGAGAACACAAACGCCAGCTCTTCTTGGTCAAGGTAAAAATCACACACATGCCTAAGTTTCTCAAGAATCTAAAATGGACCAATTCCTAGACTGTTTTTTATATACCTAGAACTAAAGGGTTCTGCTTCTTATAGATGAGTAATGTGTCCGTGTAGTCGAAAAGCAAAATTGTGGTCTCAGAGGCTTTATATATTAGAGTCCAACCTTGCCAGCAGCTACTTTGACCTTCTGAAATAATATTATTGATTGGTTAGTTAATTACTTCTATGTGATATGATAAAATTTAGTTGCCCATCTATATGGTGACTTGAAGACCAAAGACCAGCTGTTACCTACTTTGGAGGTGGCGTGATCTGACCAAAAGCTTAAGGCTGTCAGGGGTAGCTGGTCTTCAGTCTGAATTTCAGCATATTGACTGATGTATTGTTTTATCATTTTAACAAGATTTCAATCTCGCTTACCAGGCTAATTTGTACCAAAGGTTCAGAAGAATTCTCACCAGCAGCTCTCTATTGCAATGTTGCAAGATTTAAACAAGAGGCCCATGGGCCTTAACGGTCACCTGACATACGATTCAAATTAGGACTGTCATCCAGGGGCCAATTCATACTTTTCGTCGGTCCGAATGACCTTGCTGCATCGTCCATTAATTTTTCCTTGTGAACACAATAACCTCAGTAAATATGAACCGATTTTGATGAAACTTTGTATGCAGCTTTGTATCGATGAGATCTTGGATGAGTTTGAATACCAGACCAATTTGACCATAACTGACATAGTTATTCCCCTTGGTAATTCTATTATTGTTGGACCCTGTGAACACGATAACTGAAATAAATGGGTGTGACTCCAATTTTAATGGTTAAAAGAAACAAGTAAAAGAGTAAATCAATGATTTATTAAATAAGGCACAAAATTTGAATAGAACCTTGTTAGTAGCAAAAATGTGTCATGAATGAAAAAAAAGGTGTACCACATGAATTTACAACTATTCTTGTGTAATGTCAATCAACATCACAGGGACAAATAATAATATAATGACAAAGGACAATAACTCTGCAGGTTACCGTCAAATAATTACCGGACAAAGTTTCATTGAACTCCGTCAACATTTATTCAAGTTATCGTGTTTACAAGGTCCAATAATAATATTATTACAAAGGGCAATAACTCTGTAAGTTACTGTCGAATAATTCCCAGTTTCGAACTTATCCGAGATCTTATTTATATAAGGCTACATACAGAGTTTCATTAAACTTGGTTGATAATTACTTAAGTTATCATGTTCTCAAGGTCCAATAATATTATTATTACAAAGGGCAATAACTCATTTTCGAACTCGTCCGGGATCTTATTGATATATGGCTGCCTACAAAGTTTCATCAAACTCGGTTAACATTTACTCAAGTTCTCGTGTTCACAAGGTCCAATAATAATATTATAACAAAGGGCAATAACTCTGTAAGTTACTGTCGAATAATTCCCATTTTCGAACTCGTCTGGGATCTTATTGATATATGGCTGCCTACAAAGTTTCATTAAACTTGGTTAACATTTACTCAAGTTATCATGTTCACAAGGTCCAATAATAATAATATTACAAAAGGCAATAACTGTAAGTTACTGTCGAATAATTCCCATTTTAAAACTCGTCCGGGATCTTATTGATATATGGCTGCATACAAAGTTTCATCAAACTCGGTTAACATTTACTCAAGTAATCGTGTTCACAAGGTCCAATAATAATATTATTACTAAGGGCAATAACTCTGTAAGTTACTGTCAAATAATTCCCATTTTTCAAACTCGTCCGGGATCTTATTGATATATGGCTGCATACAAAGTTTTATCAAACTCGCTAAACATTTACTCAAGTAATCGTGTTCACAAGGTCCAAAAATAATATTATTACAAAGGGCAATAACTCTGTAAGTTACTGTCGAATAATTCCCATTTTCTAACTTGTTTGAGATCTTATTGACATATGGCTGCATACAAAGTTTCATTAAACTCGATTAACACTTACTCAAGTTATCGTGTTCACAAGGTCCAATAATAATAATATTACAAAGGGCAATAACTCTGTAAGTTACTGTCGAATAATTCCCATTTTCAAACTCGTCCGAGATCTTATTGATATATGGTTGCATACAAAGTTTCATTAAACTCGGTTAACATTTACTGAAGTTATCGTGTTCACAAGGAAAAGTTAACGCACGACGACGGACAAAAGACTATCACAATTGGTTACCATGACCTATGGGCAGGTAACCTAATAAAAACTGCTTGACAATCAATGATGTCAAAGTTATTAGCCTTTGCTTTGGTCATATTTTGACTCTTCCTGATAATGATACTCCTGCCACAATTTTGATCCGACACCAAAATATAAAGTTGGATAATGTGACGAAATACGGCTAATTACAACATGATGTTCTCTTTGGTGGTCTAATATTAACAAGAGGCCCATGGGCCTTAACGGTCACCTGATATATTTATACAGAGAGTTGATTTTGTTTTTAACATGAACAGAAATATTATTCAAAGTGACAAAAAACAATAAAACCACCTTACTCAATATCTAGCATACAGATTTCAGACTAAAAAGGATTTGAAACTAGCACCTCTGATTCTTAACAAGGAAAATGAAGAAATTTTAGCACACTGACTC